TTGATGTCGACAAGGTCAGGTTTATCAAAAACTGACCAATCCCTCTTGAGGTCGACAAGGTCAGGTTTATCAGCACACTGACCACCCCTTTTTGATGTCGACAAGGTAAGGTTTATCAACAAACTGACCACCCCTTCTTGATGTTGACAAGGTCAGGTTTATCAGCACACTGACCACCCCATCGTGATGTCGACAAGTTCAGGTTTATCAACACACTGACCACCCCTTCATGATGTCGACAAGGTAAGGTTGATCAACACACTGACCACCCCCTCTTGATGTCGACAAGGTCAGGTAGATCAATACGCTGACCATTCCTTCTTGATCCCGTACAGTCCGAGTTCCCTCTCGACGTCGTTCTTTAATCAATTCTAAATTTAAACTCTATGCAGCATGTGTATTTTCGTTCTCGTATCTTTCAGATACAAAACAAAGGAGATAAAAATGTGTTTGTATGTCTGTGTTGTTGGTTCGTGGTGTTTGTATGTCTGTGTTGTTGGTTCGTGGTGTTTGTATGTCTGTGATGTTGGTTCGTGATGTTTGTATGTCTGTGTTGTTGGTTCATGGTGTTTGTATGTCTGTGTTGTTGGTTCGTGATGTTTGTATGTCTGTGTTGTTGGTTCGTGATGTTTGTATGTCTGTGATGTTGGTTCGTGATGTTTGTATGTCTGTGATGTTGGTTTGTGATGTTTGTATGTCTGTGTTGTTGGTTCGTGATGTTTGTATGTCTGTGTTGTTGGTTCGTGATGTTTGTATGTCTGTGTTGTTGGTTCATGGTGTTTGTATGTCTGTGTTGTTGGTTCGTGGTGTTTGTATGTCTGTGTTGTTGGTTCGTGATGTTTGTATGTCTGTGATGTTGGTTCGTGATGTTTGTATGTCTGTGATGTTGGTTCGTGATGTTTGTATGTCTGTGTTGTTGGTTCGTGATATTTCTATGTCTGTGTTGTTGGTTCATGACGTTTGGATATCTGTGTTGCTGCAGTTTTTTGTTTTAAGTGTTTTTGTTATTTTTGTTTGGTTGGTTTTTTTTTTTTTTTTTTTGTGTGTTTATTTTGTATATTTCAGTTTTGTTATTTTTTATTGTTATAAATTATATATTTACGATATTTTGGTATCTCTTTCATTCTTTATGAAATTTCTGTTTTTACATATGTAACCTGCTCACTTTTGTTTTATGTCCTAGTTTTAGCATAAATTGACATAATTACTTTTAACTACTTTGAATTCCTGAAAAAGACATTTAAATTCGATTGATACAACTATGTGAACTGAAACAGTTTTTTTGGAGTTCAATCATATATAATCTTCATGATACAGGATTTGGAATACGTAACGTAATATGACCAGATAAGATAAGGAATGCCAAGTACAGATTCCTACAAACACTGTCCACCTTTTCTTCATGTTACTCCGCCTGTGTAAGTAATACAAGCTTTTGCCCTATACATTTCTATAACTCACATCAGCAGTTACATGATATATAAACTTTATTTATTTATAATACAACAATTGCGAAACAAGCTATCAGCTTATATTAATCACTCTTGTTAGCCCGGATAGAAATTCCTTGAGGGGTCTTACTATAAGAGGGAAACGGATTACCAGGGGAAACCCCAGGCAGGTGACTCTATGTCTTTTCACGTGTGTTCCGGGAATTGAACCCTGGACGTCTAGTGCGTTACCACTGCGCCACCCGACCACCCAAATGTAAAAGATTTAAACAACATCAGTTACTAGTTTAAAGGATTTAAACAACATCAGTTACTAGTTTAAAGAATTTAAACAACATCAGTTACTAGTTTAAAGAATTTAAACAACATCAGTTACTAGTTTAAAGAATTTAAACAACATCAGTTACTAGTTTAAAGGATTTAAACAACATCAGTTACTAGTTTAAAGGATTTAAACAGCATCAGTTACTAGTTTAAAGGATTTAAACAACATCAGTTACTAGTTTAAAGGATTTAAACAACATCCGTTACTAGTTTAAAGGATTTAAACAACATCAGTTACTAGTTTAAAGGATTTAAACAACATCAGTTACTAGTTTAAAGGATTTAAACAACATCAGTTACTAGTTTAAAGGATTTAAACAACATCCGTTACTAGTTTAAAGGATTTAAACAACATCAGTTACTAGTTTAAAGGATTTAAACAACATCAGTTACTAGTTTAAAGGATTTAAACAACATCCGCTTTGTTCACCTTTTTATTTTTAATTTTCAGTTACCGTTACTAGTTTAAAGGAAATAAAACAACATCAGTTACTAGTTTAAAGGATTTAAACAACGTCAGTTACTAGTTTAAAGGATTTAAACAACATCAGTTACTAGTTTAAAGGATTTAAACAACTTCAGTTACTTGTTTTAAGGATTTAAACAACATCAGTTACTAGTTTTATCTATACGTAAATGTCACAAGTAGCGGACTCTGCTTTGTTCACCTTTTTATTTTTAATTTTCTAGGCTTACTGTAACCGCTTTATAGAAGCAAGCCTTTTATGACGTCATGAAATGATGCAGGTGTGTCTCAGAATTTACAACAAAACAGTGAGAAACATAAATGAAAAAGAAAGCTTCAGTTTTTGATCAGTACGATATATCGCATTTCAAATGTTTGCCCAATGAAGATGGTGTATCAACACATACTAAGAACGATTTTGCTTTTGTCTGTTTACTAGTTTTCGTTTTTATCCCCTGCTTTCACCGAAACGGGGAATATTAATTTGGGTTTGTCCGTCAGTCCGTCCGTCTGTCTATAACACTTTCGTTTCCGTGTTCTAACTTCCCCAAATATCATCCAATTTGGGTGAAACTTGGTCAGCAGATGCATCTTGGGGTCATTAAGACTGAGTTTGACTATCAGTGTCATCTGTTAATGATTATGCATACTAATGAGGTATCTTTTGATTTCATTGGTCGGTTCATTTCCGTGCTCTAACTTCCGTAAATATAATCCGATTTAGATGAGACTTGGTCAGCAGATGCATAGTAGGGCACATAAGTTCAGCAATCAACATCATCTGTTAATATCTATGCATACTAATTATGGATCCTTCCATTTCATTGGTCGGTCAGTTTTTGTGCTCTTACTTTCCTAAATATAATCTGATTTAGATGTAACTTGAAGTCCCACAAATATTATCAGTTTATCATTATTATCATTTGTCAATAAGGGTATACATAGGTATTTATCAGTAAGGGTAGGTATTTATCAATAAGGGTATATACAGGTATTTATCAATAAGGGTAGGTATTTATCACATAAGGGTATATTTATCAATAAGGGTAGGTATTTATCAGTAAGGGTAGGTATTTATCAATAAGTGTATACACAGGTATTTATCGATAAGGGTATACACAGATATTTATCAATAAGGGTGGGTATTTATCAATAAGGGTAGGTATTTATCAATAAGGGTATACACAGATATTTATCAATAAGGGTGGGTATTTATCAATAAGGGTAGGTATTTATCAATAAGGGTATACACAGGTATTTATCAATAAGGGTATACACAGATATTTATCAATAAGGGTGGGTATTTATCAATAAGGGTAGGTATTTATCAATAAGGGTATACACAGATATTTATCAATAAGGGTAGGTATTTATCAGTAAGGGGTAGGTATTTATCAGTAAGGGTAGGTATTTATCAGTAAGGGTGGGTATTTATCAATAAGGGTAGGTATTTATCAATAAGGGTATACACAGATATTTATCAATAAGGGTAGGTATTTATCAGTAAGGGTAGGTATTTATCAGTAAGGGTAGGTATTTATCAATAAGGGTATACACAGGTTTTTATCGATAAGGGTATACACAGATATTTATCAATAAGGGTAGGTATTTATCAATAAGGGTAGGTATTTATCAGTAAGGGTAGGTATTTATCAATAAGGGTATATATTTATCAATAGGGGTATACATAGGTATTTATTAATAAGGGTATACAAGGTATTTATCAATAAGGGTACACATAGATATTTATCAATAAGGGTAGGTATTTATCAATAAGGGTACACATAGGTATTTATCAATAAGGGTATACATAGGTATTTATCAATAAGGGTAGGTATTTATCAATAAGGGTACACATAGGTATTTATCAATAAGGGTACACATAGGTATTTATCAATAAGGGTATACATAGGTATTTATCAATAAGGGTATACATATGTATTTATCAATAAGGGTATACATAGGGTTTTATCAATAAGGGTATACATAGGTATTTATCAATAAGGGTATACATAGGTATTTGTCAATAAGGATACACATAGGTATTTTTCAATAAGGGTACAATATGTATTTATCAATAAGGGTATACATAGGTATTTATCAATAAGGGTATACATAGGTATTTATCAATAAGGGTATACATAGGTATTTATCGATAATGGTATACATAGGTATTTATCAATAAGGGTATACGACCTTTTCCTAACCTACACTAGATGCAACTGCTGAGAAATACACCAGTCTGCGATCTCTTGGTTCTGTCTTAGGGCAAGACACACAAGACACTAACCCTAATTTCACTTGATTGCATCAGACGGGACTTCCATATGTTCTTCGTTAAGGTAGTTAAGGTAGCCACCAGCTGCTACAATGAGACTCCGCCTCAGAATTACACTGACTAATTATGACGTGAAGTGGTTAATGAAGGAATTAGATTATTATCCAAAAGTTTATGTAACCGTGGTTTCAATGTGAAGAGAAGTATAAAGCATCCACATTCAATTAATGTGATGTGATGTATGTGATCAAAAATAGAAAAGAAAAACAGTTTAATTATTTGCTCTTTGGACTTTGTTTTGTTTTCCTGGCGTTGTCAGTGAAGCTCAAGTGGCGCCATCTACTGCTTCCGGTCTAATGATGTCTGTAAAGTAATTGATATTTTACTGTGGTTATCAAATGTCAAGATAACAATAGCTATGGCGTAAAGTGCACCGAGTAATATGTAATTATTCAAACTAATATTAGTTGTTGTTTTATAGGTGTCCGACTTTCCGTCTGTATCGGACTTGTATGAAGAGAAGACCGGCCTGTACACCACTGCTGTGGGTTCCTACAGGGCATGGTCAATCGACGTAGATCTGGGTCCGCCCAGTCCCTCCATCGCCGTTCCACTAGAAGATGTCCACATTGTCAATTATTACGATGCTCTCCAGGTAGGTCATTTTTCGATGCAATGAAAAATTTTCCGTCACCTTTACTTACAAACTAATTTGTAAATGTCAGCAGTCAAAGTGCAATCGTTCTGTTTAATTTTCCTGTCTTGATTGAAGTACGATCGTCTGAACAGACCTCATTCCTAAAACAGTCTATATCAACGAAAGCTTGTATTTAATGTTATTGATTTCGAGTAATATGTAACTTAATAGTGCCATGTACGTTCCCTGGTCTCATTGAGACATATCCTGGACTCGTTGGAATTTATTCGGGCATGTTAATGACGCATCTAGGCATTTTCTCTACACACGTATTCGGGTTTAAGCTGGATGTCCCAATAAACTCTTTTCAGCATTATTGAGGACGATGTCAGATTCAAATTATCAAAACATATATGGCACTTTCTCCATTTTCTTATTGTCTTTTCCCTCCCTTTGATGTATTTTCAGCATCCCTGTTTTGTTTTCTTTCTTACATCATTCAAATTGACAGACATATATTTCTCTAAGATATAATTATATATACTTATATATACTTTCAATGTCTTACATTTACTTATTTACAGGCATACTCTCAACAGTAGAAAATAAAAGTTTTACACAATGATGGTTATAATATTAAGTGTCATTGATGTATGGAAAGAAATACAATCGAGCTGTGAAACAGTAATTCAAGTTATAGAGACGCTTTAATAGCCGTAATCTTAAAAACGCTTTAAACCTGTCAATCATCCTACTAAAACTCCTCGTGGTCTTGACAGCCCATCTACAGATCATGGTTACAAAAATGATTTAATGGCACGTCAAATACAGCAATGCCACACTGAGTACTATTAGTTTATCATCAGCCATAGGAAGCTCTAGTACTTTTATAAAAAGACATATTTTCGTATCTATACCAAAGAAAACATCGGGTGTTAATACAGTACAACGTTTTCTCTTGTGATTAGTAGGTATTTTATAAAAATGTGTTTAAAGCTGTATCACGTGGTTACTAGAGAAAGGAAGTGTTTAGAAAAAAAAGAGAAAATGTCAACTCCCAAATTTCTTCACCTCATGCGATCATGCAATAGAGACAGGATATACAATTCTGAAGTCTTACCTGCGGGACCAGCCACTTTTAATTTTAAAGAGATCCAGTTTAAAAAAATGAAAAGAATATCAAACACGTTGTTGACAGTTGTACGATGCTTGATAACCATATAGATATTAACTATAATTAAGAACCTTCACGTTCAGTTCGTATACCTTAAGGTTCGTCGTACAACCCTCTAGCATTGCTCAAACCATCCAAAGGTTCGTCGTACAACCCTCTACCATTGCTCAAACCATCCAAAGGTTCGTCGTACAGGCCCCTCGCATTGCTCAAACCATCCAAAAGTTCATCGTACAAGCCTCTCGCATCGCTCAAACCAACCAAATATTCATCGTACAACCCCTTGCATTGCTCAAACCAACCAAATGTTCATCGTACAAGCCGAGCAAGGATTTCACGTGTTCATGGAGTATGTAGAGTGTGTTTATAAGGATTTACTACATTTTTTGCCAGTGAAATAGAGAGAAATATCTTTTAGATAAAAGTGTTTTCCTAGTTAAAAATAACACATTTTTGTTATTCTACGCATTCCTGAAATATACCAAAATATTAGAAACACTTGTGAAATATGTTTGTTATTACTGAAGACACTATTAGATATCATCTTTATAGTTTGATGAACAAAGAAATCTATTTAAAGTACACTTTTTAAACCATATGATATTTTCAACAATTCAATTATTCTAAATATCATTTATTTAATCTAATCATTTAATCTCTTTCAGTATTCCTTATATGAGAACGGATTTCCGGAAACGGTTGACAGAACAGACACACCACGAAGAGAATTTACATGCAATGACGTCACTATTGCCTTGCTTTCGTCACCAGTTGAATGTTTCGGAATTTTACTTGCAGGCGGTAAAATATGCCCACGTGATATGCTCCTTGTGATGTCAACATCTTGGTTGACGAAGGTCAGGTCCAAGAGAAATCCGGAATTATTTTCTCTCTACGTCCACAAAGCGATAACCATGGACCTTGCGGGCCAATCGTTTCTGGATACTTTCAATCCGCCCCGTAGGGTAACATATTTCCTAAATTATTTCACGCGCGCGTGTACAGATGGTCAGAGATCAGATGGAGAGACACTGGAGTCTAATCTGGATTGTCCTATGTCCAGTTCCCTAAATTTGGTCAAAAACGTGGATGATAAACTTTGGACCCGAACTCTGCTGGCCAACATCAATGCTGACTATCCAGAAACACTAGCATTTACCTACAAATGTAATCTGAGGTATGACACCGCTCCTGGTGCGGATATAACAGTTATCAAGCTTGACACAAAATTAGGAACAACAAGCCTAATTTATGAAGAGGTTCAACGATTTCTGAATTCCAAACCTGTCTTATTAAGAGATAAGGTAAGTTCGTAAATATTTCTTTAAAATATTTTGCGTATTTAGTTGCACTGGTGTAGACTTTGTGATCTTATAACAGGTTTTTTCTTAGAGTTGGGATCCTACACCCGACAGGTGATGATCCGCGGTGTACTGGTTCGAATCCCACGGTTCCAGTGGTTGGTTTGGTGACGTTGGCACCAACTTCTACAAGGCACCACCCTCTATAGAATGCTTTCTTGATATTCACGGGGGATCAACCATGGAAACAAATATCAGAGAGACGAAGATCGGCAAATAGCTGTTGAATTCGTGTTTCCCGATACTCTAACCTTGGATGATCAGACCATCATCATGCAATTTCAGTGGCGGACATATATATGGATATTTTTACCGTTATAGTTAATCGTCCCACGAATTGTTAGAATGCTAAGAAATATAATTATATATGTCAACATGTCCAGAAGGCAAAACAATTAACATATATTCAGTCCTCAAGTAGATGAAACAGCGGGCTTACTGTAGAAAACAATGGGACTTTCTAATACCAAGTCGAACCTTATTATCTCAAAGTCGATTGAACCTTGGGAAAACTTCGACTTATCAGATTATTTCATGTACGTGAGTTCTAATCTTTAGTGAGATATTTGGTCGGGACCGATGACAGGCATCGAATTAAACGGTCTTCCAGTTATATGAGTTCGATTTAATGAGGTTTAATGGTATTGCAAAATTTCCCCGCAACTGCTGTCAACTCTGATTTCTTTTGTTTTACATCAGATTGTGGTGAAACCCTCAGGAGTTATCTGGCACGGAAGTCTTGGTGTGACGTATCACGCTCGGAATGACTTGAAAGGTGTCGTCGAAGCCGTCATTCACCTCCTAAACGATCTAGAACCAGAAAATAGCATCCTCGTGGAGACCTTTTACGCCCCACCGACCAAGTACAAACATTTTGGTAAATAACAACAGAAAAAATACATTTCCGTCGACAAATTTGAAATTGAGTTATGGTAAATAAAAATAAAAATGCGAAATTTGATTTGGAGTTTCACAAATACAAGGCTGTATAAGATGTTATCCATAATATTTTAAGAAAGAACTGACCTTTAGCTTATCTGAAATTTGAAAAAAAAAAAATCTAAAAAAGTGAATGAGTATTGTTTTTATCAATCAAACAAGAAACAAAATATAATTTTCACAAATGTCACAATTCATACTGCAGTAACTGTTCATAGTCCTTTCTGTACGTTAAGGACAACGGAAATGGTACTCACAAACTTACATTTTGATTATTACTAAGCATTGTCTCTAAATTTAGAATTAAAACGATCGTTTAACGAGTTCATTGTGTGGAAAAAGCAATGTAGAGAATATAGCGTTCCAATGTTAATATCCTTGTAATCCTCACATAGCTGACCTTCGCGTTACGTAGCTAGAATTATTGTAATCAGTCAAAGACAATTTCGGTCGATTTTTACATAGGCAAATAAAGAAACCATTAGTTAACACAAAAATGAACGTGTCCTGAAAACCAAGCAGATAAAAGACATAACGAAATTAAAATATGGAGTAGGAGAGTCTATTATCTTTCAAGTGTCGGTCGGTGTATGGTCCTTGTAAATTAAACGAGAATACCCGTCAATCATTGCCTGATTATCACAAACCTTCAGGCGATCTTCCGGGTTCCTCCTAATCAGGGAGCACAGAAAATGACGTCATCCACACATGAGTATTCTACGCGCAGAGTTGTATGCTTAGTAATCCCCTTTTTTATGTTTTTTTTTTTTTTTTTGTTTCTTCACGAATTTGTAAAAGATTAAGTCATTATGTCATACTTTAAACAATAATGTGTATCAGGTATTATGTTTTACAAACATAGTGGTATGTATGTGTGGGTTTTACTCAGTGGTTACAAGTATTGTGGGTATTGTGGTTTGAAGTTTAAATGGCAATTACAAATGGCAAATTACATTACAGCAGTGAATAAAAACATCATTATGTAATGGTTTTATGATCACGTGGCCCGGATCGGTTGTCTTGGTAACTGGTCGTTGTACTTAGTAAAATATCTACAATTGCCCATAGCTTTTATCATATGCTAAAAAGGCATGACGAGAAAATCAAGGTTATACATAAAACGTTGAGGTCACTGGAACTGAAACTAGAACAAAGGATTATGAACGTTTTGCATCAACAATGGCGGAAGGTGAGATTATGTGTACCAATTTTGCTTGAAATATCCTGATGACGGGGATTTATTTTTTTTTATAATTTTTTATTTTTCAAGATTTTACACGTTGAACAGGACAAATACACTCACACCCTCTCACACATCCAACCACAGGTGCACATATAGTCATTGCGTGTCAAACAAGAACACTCCATTCAAAAGAATCATCAACATCATCATCAACATTCAACAATGCATGTGATCATTATTATTATTATTATTATTATTATCACCATACATGATAATCCTCATATATCACAATCAAAATTATCATGTTACACACTAAATAATGCATCATCATCATCATCATCATCATCATCATCAAAAACATGATAATCTTCCTCATCATCCATTTCAACATACATATGACAATCAATATTACTATAATGATTATTGTACATACTAAATAATGCATCATCATCATCCACATTCAACAATTCATCATCATCATCAAATCAAGATTCATACTTTCATAGCCATTATGAAACCTTATGATTCATAAATATCGGGGATTTATATCAATAAAAAATAGTCTGCAGGGACAAAGCCGAAAAATAGAAACATGTATATGTTAAGTATTTTTTAAAAATTTAGTTTTAAGCTTTGACATTTCCTCACCCTTTAGTTGGGACATCGAAAAATATTTGTGAATTAAAATATTTCAAGTGAAAGCTGAAAAATATCCAGGTTATCGATACAGACCAATTATTGCTCAAATAGTCAAGAAATCTTGAATGAAATTATTATTTATCGATACAATAGTATTGATTTCTGTAACGTTTAAAATCAAACAGTAGTCATTTAATTTCTCATATGAAAAGGAGAAGATTCATTCAGGTTAGCTTAACTAGTAAATAAGCTTTTCTCCAACACTTTACCTGATCGAACCAAACTTTATCTTTGCTAAGACATACTTTTGTTATCCTGTGAATAATTACCGTATTTAAGATATGTCTCAATTTCTGAAAACATGTCAGATATTTTTAAACGAACCAATATATATATCAGGAACTTACGGAAGTTTAGATTACACTAAATAGATCTGTAAAACTTTCCGGTAAACTGATAATGTAGGTATTCTAAAGGTTCCAAATTTTCAGGGTTACGACGTCCAGAGATAGTGTTATCAAGGGGGAAAATAAGCAAAATGCCACAGGCACTATCTTCACTTGATAGATTTTCACGTCATAAGTATGACAACACAGAGCCTTCTAATAGGTATCCCGTTTCGTTCATATCTACGAGTCGTATATATTGGCCTATATCTTGTTTCTATATATATATATTTATATATACTTGCTGAAGCAGCTGTGTTTAGGGGGTCTAGGTGGGAGGGGGAGGGGGTGGGGGAGGGAGGGCGAGACTCCAAAACACACTGACTATTCAAGTGTCTCGGATATGTCTATAAAAAGCTTATATTTTCGATATCATGAGACTGAAATTATTACTAAATATTTCTTAGTTATTAGATGTCATGTATTTCTTCCGTATTGCTTTATCTCACATTTTAATTTCCAGAAGATTTATCGTTCCGGTTGAGGTCAACGGTTTGTAGAGGATTCGGGGATCACCCAAAGACAACTACACTAATATGTGGTGTTGGCCAAAGGAACCAGCCAATCAATGGTGACAATACGGTCCCCCAAACGTTTGACACGACACTGTGTACATGTGGAGTCACAAGTGCCAAGGAAAGGAATCGACTCAGAGAAAAAACGTCAAAAATTTCTGAAGATCTCCTGGGAGAAATAATTCGTAAAGAAAAGGAAATGACGTCATCAGAGAGAGGGGGAGATGGGGGCCAAACGGATGTTATAGGTACACATTGTTTATGTTATGGTAACAGATTGCAATAAAAAAGGTGGATAATTTAGTGTGAAGCTTCAAAATAAAACACGAATATATATTTGATAGCTGAGCAATATAATTTGCTTTGTATTACTTATTACAACTTCTTGTGTTAAAATCTGAGACCAAATGTTTCATTCGCTGTTGTTTCTTTGAATGAACGATATTAATCTGTTTAGGAAGTTTCCGTAAACTGGTAGAAACAGTTCGTAACGCTCTTCAGGCGTAAAAATGATATGTATGAGTACGACAGTGTATTAAGGTAATATCCAACTGTGTAACAGTCAAAATGTGTTTCAGTCATGTTGGACACGGTGAGAGTGCCTTAATTGCGTTTATACAGTAAAAACTGGATCCGTGTTGTGAATTTGAATGACATCTTTGATGTATATTAAATTCAACGATGATCTCTGAAACGATATGTTTTTTTTTTCGATTTAGGACTAGATTTTGTTCTCGGAGAGAAAGATGATAGTTTGACCCCAATTGCAATAGAGGTGAACAGTCACGACTGCACCATCAACTGTCAACTGTTTGAGTCAATGAACTGTGACATACAAGGGAAATCTGTTAGCCCCCTAGTGGACACAATGGTACAGCGATCCCAGCGCCACCTAATGCAGGGAAAGACAATCCTCGTGATTGGGGCTGGTGGTTTCAGCAAGCGGTTTATCTGGAAAGCAGCACAAGACTACGGCATCAAGGTATGCTGTCGTATATATTCTAATAATAAAATGTCTTATCTGAATATAAAAACCGTCAAATATGTTATGTGAATTCTCATATTTGTTTCCATACAGTTTAATGTCTGAGAAAGCTAAAGAAGAAACCATTATGATACATACTAATGACTATCCAGAGTGATATTGGCACTTTGGCCCCAATATTTTGTTACTGCGAAATATATCATTGATGTGTCACTTTGTAAATAATCAATTTATTTATTTTTATTTCTTTATCTATTTATTTATTTGTTGATAGTAAATAAAAATGTCCATAACATAAATATAACTACACGTGATAGACTTCGGACAATAAACTACAATAGTGAATGTAATAAAGTAAACAAATCATGGTTCAGTTTAATCCATTATTTGACTCTATGGTACAAAATTCTAAATTTGTAATGAAAAATACTTTTCAATTGTGTATCTTGTGTACAATCTTCTGTAGTCTGTGTCACTTTTGGGATACTAACAGCAACCCTTGCAGTCAGACAACACTTGGTATCTACTACCATGCTATAGATTAAATTTAACAAAAATCTTTCGATAACACTAAATCTTATCAAGATCTATATATAAATTAATACCCATTTTTTTACATTTTTTTTGTAGATCTTTCTTGTGAATGATGTTGAAGATTCGTTCGTTTCGGAGAATGTAGATAAATTTCTTCAGTATGATTTCTCTGACCACATGCAGGACGACCGTCACGCGAGAAATATTATTCAGCTTCTGTCGACTGATATCGACGATGTCGACGGATGTTGCACGTTCTGGGAAGACTGTGGGCCTCTCGCAGCCAATATATGTGACAAAATGAAGTACTGCGGCGCCGGTCTACGAGGGGCGCTGATCGCTAAAAAGAAGAGCTCTACCCAGCATCTCTTACGTCAGCGAACGGCTGATATTCCGCATTTTCCGCGGACATACCTGTACACAGGCAGATCTGCTGCTATCCGACAATCCGAACAAATTGCTTCCGCTGCAAAGCATGTCCAATTCCCAGCGGTCTTGAAACTCGAATATGGTTCTAGTGCTGTTGGTGTCAAGTTGGTCAAGGACGAAGAGGAGTGCCGGGCCGAGTATGAAAGAATCCGAAGTTGTCTTCGACAAGAGTCTGATCATCCCGGAATTGGACTAGGACACGGGAACGATATGATGCTTATGGAGTATTATGAGGGTACAGAACATGACATAGATATCATCATATATCAAAGACGTCTCATTGCTGCTTTTATCTCTGATAATGGCCCTACGAGACCGGGAACGTTTACAGAAACAGCAGCTTTAATGCCGACGTGTCTTCCGCCGGACAAAGCCGCACAGCTGAAGACAGCAGCGTATCAATGCTGCACTGAAATTGGACTTGTCAACGGGGTTTTTAATGTCGAGATGATAATGACGTCAACAGGCCCAAAACTGTTGGAGATAAATGCCCGGATGGGCGGGTTCTACCTGAGAGATTGGATCAAGTCCTGCTACGAGGTTGATATTCTTCTCTGCTCCTTCATGATCGCTGCCGGCGTCAAGCCAATCTTGCCGCGAACCATTACGCCACGCTGCCATATCATGGGAGTGATGTGTGTTCCCTCGGCACACAAAGAAACTCTGTCCCGCGTCAGTGTCAGGAACAAAATCTACACTCTTCACGAATCAAACACAATACGCTACAACGAGTTAGACAACGAAGAAAGTTTAGAAGGGGACTTTGACGAGGAAGTAGAAGAACCTTTTTCTAATTTCGCTGTGATAGCGGAAGATTTGGAAACGGCGAAATCCGAATTGCTTAGATTATGCTCGGAACTCGAAATCAGCAATTCTTCTTACGATGTCTCGAAGTATGTGTCAGAATTCTTTCCACGAAATACTGAATATCTGTTATGTTAGAAATAGCCAGGACGCAAGTCAAAGATATTGTGGACTTTCTTCGGTGCATAGTTCTTGAGAGACACTTGAACAAGACGCTTGTCTTACGCTAGCACTAATGGCTTGAGAAATATCTGTTAGCTTAATCTTATGTCCGTTTGTCTTTCAAGTTATGTGAAACGAGCCATTTCTTCTGAATACAGAGCATATATCAGAAAACCTCTATGAAGCTTTGTATTTCTTTAATCTCGCGTTCAAACTACCATCAGAAGAGTGACTGATGTTTGTATTCATTAAGATATCATGACTAAAGAATTACTTTATTTATTTAATGATTTTTTCTTTAAATATTCAAGATAAATTTTTCATTATACATGTACTTTATGTCCATCTAGCTGAATCTACATATCTAACTACCAGCTAAATTACCCATTGATTTTTGTAATTTCAAATCAGCATTTTTTCTATGCAGAATTTATTATACTGACCATGTTGTGTTTTCTTCCCCTATTGGTCAAAGGACAATTTATTTTGTGGGAAACAAACATCAGTCCTGTAGTGTACATATTCCTTGTTGTGTAACTCGTAAATGTGTGTTTTACTGTACAACACGATCACTAATTTTGTCTTCCGTAAATAGATACATTACATGACTGACTTAAAATGGAGTTTTTTTTTTATCAGCAATGACGTATTGATATCATACAATGTGATTTAGATTTTTTTTTACTGGAAAATGCTTTATATAACAACATAACAGACTCATGTCTGATTTATGTATGTATATTTTCATTTCTGAAGCAATTTTTAACATTTTTGTAATCATGTGCAAATGATATAAGACGAACGAAATAAAAATGCTTATTTGTCATATCTCTCCTGCTATTTATTCTATAGTAATGAAATTACATTTATGTTTCAAAATTGATACTTAAGAAAAAAGAACACGAATGTGTTACGTTGACGTCTTGTTATAATAATAACAGATGAGATATCGGATTCGGTCCCCTATACTCGTGCATTATTTTTTGTACCAATAAACAGATCTTGGCAGTGACAAGAGATCAACAAAACAAGAAAAATTAAGTTTAACCACGATACGACGATAATGAAACCAGGGCAGATAAATTTAACGACTATGATATTGAGACAAAACCAAATGACAGCAGACCATTTGAGTTCGACAATAATACATGGTTATCGAGACAGGACAAATTTAGTTTAACCACGACAAGATGATATTGAGACCTTGTCAGAGGTATTTTACCAGTTTCCTCGTGTGTTTGAATCCAAAACAACAAGAGCAGATCAACTAATACAGGTTTGACCACAATACAATGATATTGAGACATGACGAATTATTTTTACCGCGATAAGATGACATTGAGACCCGGCCAATGACAACAGACCAATTAATCCTGTCCACGATAACATGACGTTGAGATCCTACCAATGACAGCAAACCAATTACATTTAACCACGAAACGCTGATATTAAGACCCTACCAATGGCAATAGATTAATTTAATTTAACCACAATAGATAATGAGACCCGACCAATGATAGCAGACTAATTAAATGTGACGTCGATAAGATGACATTGAGACCCGACCAATGACAGCAGATCAATTAAATGTGACGTCGATAAGATGACATTGAGACCCGACCAATGACAGCAGATCAATTAAATGTGACCTCGATAAGATGACATTGAGACCCGACCAATGACAGCAGATCAATTAAATGTGACCTCGATAAGATGACATTGAGACCCGACCAATGACAGCAGATCAATTAAATGTGACCTCGATAAGATGACATTGAGACCCGACCAATGACAGCAGACCAATTAAATGTGACCTCGATAAGATGACATTGAGACCCGACCAATGACAGCAGATCAATTAGATTTGACCTCGATAAGATAATGTTGAGACTCGTCCAATTACAGCAGGCCAATTAAACTGGATCACGGTACGAGGTTATGGAAATATCATAACAAAATCATATAGAGAAAGTCATAGATGAACTGCACTGGTAACAACAGATTTAAGATCCGAATGGAGATACGCCAATCGGAACCCAGGTTACAATATCATACTAAAGTGAACAGAACAAAAATAACAAGTTTAACAGAATCTTGATTTAATCTGAAATTCAATTAAACGAATGCAAAGTGTACACAATAGAAAGATTAACTCGGAGACTCCCGAAAAGGTACAAAAAGGATAGGACTAGGTATTCAGGAAGAGAAAGCGTCTTCTACTTCATCGACGACACTCTTAAATCTTGCTAAATCCAAGCTGGTTGATTTGTTAGTTTGACAGTTGTTGATATCCTGATATTGTGAGCAGGCCCTTGAACATCGAATCAACTGGAACATGTAGACACCATAACTTGAGGATACAGGGTTGTTTATGAAGCTACTTGTATCAGCTGGATTTACTTGATATAAGGTCTATGAAATCCCCATAATCTACAATGTTTACAGATCTCATCGACAGAAAGGTCATGGAGGTGAAAAATATTGATGCAGACACTGATTTGTTAGCAGCTGAATGCATAACGATGACTTTTCATGCGTTTTATTAATTGTCCCTTTGTTTCACCAATTTATATTTAACAACGAGGAGCGCATTCAATACCATAAACAATGTTGGAAGTTTCATCATTTACAGGTTCAAAGCTTCTGGTAGAACACCTAATTTTATTTAAAGAAATCTTGCGGTTCTTGTCTATGGAACTGATAAAGCAGGTTTCGTAGTGGCAATGGAAACTGAAAGACAAAAATCTAAGTCCAGGTGCTAGACATAAACGGTTTTGTATTAACTCTACATAATACCCTTTACTCGCTTGTGGTATCATGTTGGTATTGACTAGGTTGTTTTTCTGCAAAGCATCGTTACCCAGCAAAATGAGGTCTTTAAATGACATCAAGCTTCTTAACTTTAAATGGCTGAGAAAAAGCTTTAGTAGAATTTCCGACATGTTAAGTTTTTTTTCCATCAACTATTTACTCACAATGAGTGATGATTTTAACACACGGAACATGTGATATACTGTATCCAAGCTGTTACTATCATTCCTAGTAAAACTAAATCAGAGATACAGTCTTGGCAGTATTGGAATGATTTATATTTTCTGAAAAATTCCGGAGATAAATAAATCAATCGAAATTATCTGCTCCTGAAACACGTTTTGTCTATAAGAATTTAAATATTCAAGATTGCAGAAAATTTATTTCCTTTACCAAATTATATACTGAAAGGGCACGCCTTATTTCTCGTACAAAGAAAACTGCCCTTTCACATAGAGGTAATAGGCTGTACATATATACGATTTGTACTGGGCGTATTTCGTGAAAATCACGTCTACTAAAAGATGATAATTAAATAAAGAAATAACACATAGCAGTTGATTTTGGCTGATTTTCTCACCCGCCCAATTTGATATAAAGTTATCAAAAAAAAAAAAAAAAAAATTACCTGGGCGTATATCTGCGAGTCATCGATTTAAGATACATGAAAAAAAATCTAAAAGTTAAACGTTATAAAGATTGCATTTCAATATCGTAAAAAGTAATGATAATTTAAGGACACAATGTCGTGTTATTAATCAATTAATTAATTAATTTAGAGTCCTTGTGAGCATTTTGATTCACATCTCTACTACTAATCTTCAGATAACATTTAAACAATATCAATTTGTAGATAGATCAACAACCCTTTATCTTTTTATCCACTTTCACTTGTTGACAGTTTGCACGAAGATTCAAAGCTACGTCGTACGGTTTACACTATAACTAAAGTCTGCCCACTTTAAACTTGATATGGAAAACCTATACGTAAATATTAAATAGAAATCTAAAATCAGTGTTTTTACGAAAATGGCTTCGTTAATTTCATTCTTTCTCGCGCCTACATAAATACCAAAGACACATCAAAGCATAAAGCGTAATTGATGGGGTGTAAACTCCCACACTAATAGTTTTAACTTAACCCTAATTAAAACCACTGAAGTGTGACGTTTCTTTACCTTACCTAGTTTGACTGGTGCATGACCTACGCAAAAATTCTACTAACTCAGTCGTGTCAGATTCAATCTTTCTAATGTCAAAGTTTTATCACTGTATCATTGAATGTTGTTAACAAAAGATAATATCGGCATTTTGATGCCATCTCCGGCGTAATCACTTGACATTATTTGTATTGAAAGGTAATATTGACTTGTGTGGGTTTTTACAACCCTTTAGATTGCACTTAAAAGACAGAGAATAATAAAACTGAAATGTCGTCATATGATATACTTTATAGGTCTACGGCACTTCAGTCACATACGAGCTGGGAACATAAATATGTTAGCGTTCATATACAAAAATGCTGTATATAATTTTAATTCTAATTTTGTATTGAAATGTGCTCTTCCCTTTGTTTGTCTTTTGTCGATTTTTAAAAATCTTATATCTTGACCAACGGCCACCAAAGTTTACTTATACACAGAGATTTACATCTTGTTAGCGTTACATGGCTTAAAGGCGCTTACTTATGCGAATACTTCTTAAGTCATACAGCGCTGAAGAAATGGTCACCGCAGAGTCCTCAAAAGACTATATGTTCAAAGTTAAGGGAATCAAGCTATCGACAAAGGAAACATATAGCAAGGACTGTAAACGGGTACATTTCGTTCAACAGATATAGAAGTTTTACACAAGTTTCCCGTTTGATGTGTAATTGATAAAAGGACCCAAAGTATGTTTTTAAAAAGCTGGCTAAAATGAACAAAAATGTGACGAGATTCATTTACCATGTCTCAAACTGAAGCAAGTGAAAGACTCCTTTATATCCTTGTGTGTCCTTAATGAAAATGAGTTAAAGTAATGGCGGTTTAATCTCTGCGCGGTGTTGTGTAAACATTATAACAGTATGAATATAAACTTAATCTGTTGTTTACACAGACCAAACAATTATAACAGAACAGCGCAGACACAGGATATGGAGGTTGCACAAAAACAGTTCAATTCTCAGACTTGTGAAACACAACAAAGTACAATTGCAGTGGATGTGAGAATACACTACTCTTCAGAAAGTTGGTGATATAGATTACAGGATAGATATGTCAGAACATACCATACCAATTTACTAAATGTTTGCTGTGAAAGTGATCCTGAGCGAATTGAGACAACACAAAAGAGTCTACTTGCTTGTGCGAGTATTTCGGTGTTAAATGATTCATATACAGCGGAAGTACACACTTTTTGATTATGTTATATCACTACACCATGAAGCCACAGACTGTGGATTAAATAGGAGAGAAAATGGACGGACGTAGGACTGACGGATAGAATAACTGATTACTTCATTCCTCCTGACGAGCTAGAGGGAGGTGGCATAAAATCAACCATCTGGTTTATGCCTTATGAATAACCTTTTAAATTGATGTGGTATAGCCTCTGTTCAGTAAACTTATACTAATTATTTTACCACAATTACTGAACAAGTTATTCCAAGTTATATAACTCTTGTTACCCCGGATAGGAGCGCGCAAGAGGTATTGATATGTGAGGAAGTTAGATTTCCCGGAAAAAAATCCACGTGGTAGGACAGGTGATCCCATAACTTTTCACGTCCGATCGGGGAATCGAACCACTTCACCACCTGGTCCTTTAATTCAGTATAAAATCCTGTCTTAAATCTAGCTTAAGCTTTTAAATAAACTTTTATTTTATATCAAGTGTGAAACAAGTTTTTCCAACTTATATCAATCACTCTTGTTGGCCTGGATGGAAGCGTGCGAGGGGACTTACTATGGCAGGAAATAATTATCAGGATGGGTAATTTAGG